TATCTGTTTATGTACAGATTGTCTGCTTGCAGTAGATATGATTTAAGATAGCCGTGTAAGTTGTGTTCTTCTAAAACACAATGTAGTGTTACAAACTGTGTGTGGTAGTGTTTAAAAATGGGTCTAATGTTCAAAGAAGACAACAGTAAAATGTCTTTTATGCATTTAAGCTTCAGGTTTGAGCCTGGTGGTGGAGCTTGCTGTGCAATGGAAAAGCAAAACCAGAGCAGTCATATTTCAGGAAGCGTTCGTAGGCTTAATAGGTTCATTTTCTTCTGCTGAAACCAAAGCATATATAACTACTTTCAACCCGCTATTTTCCTTTGTAATTATTCAGGAGTAAACAAAAGTACAATTCCGTCTCTAATACTGAAGAGAAATTCTGTAGTATGTCTTCTACCTACTTTTGTTTAGCTCTTGGGAGAGGCGTAGGTGTTAGAAATTCTGTCCCCTCAGCTTTGAGAGACATACAGAGAGATCTTTATTTATGCATGATTCCCTCGGTCTCCTTTAAGGAGAATACAAACATAAGAACAGTTTAAAAGTTTCTGTTAGAGCATGGGAATGCATCTTTTGGCATACGAGTTGTTTTCCTCTTTTGTTGAAATAAAGATCTGGCATCTTTTCTGGTTCCTGCAACTGATTGAAAGATTGAACTGCTTTTCCTTTGCTTAGCTGAGAAAATAATTTTCTCTTAGTGCTGCATTTCCTCTGTCTGTTGTCAGCTCCACAAGACAGATTGTATGCACTGGATTTGCAGATTGCGTTTCTTTAAAATATATTGTTTAGCCGCCTCTAGTCACACTTCTGCTTCTCTTACAGCAGTCATCCGCCCTGCCCGCTCACCCAGTGCTGCTGCTTGGGTAGAAGAGATTTCTTTCCAGCAGCTTCTGCCATCTGGAACTGCCTTATTTTATCTCCCTAGTTCATTAGGTCTCCATAGCTTTTAAAATATTTTCTGAAATTACAACTTTTTTCTTTCACGTTACGCCTCAGTGTTTGACTCTGTGGCTGGATATTTAATTCGTTAGGAAATGCCCTTACCCCACTGTTTTCTGTGATTTTTTATTGTATGAAGTCAGGAAAATGCTTTGAGGCACAGCTTGGTGAAACACTCTATAAAATAAAATGTTATTAGAAAGTTTCAGAGAGACTGAAACCTATAACCCCATAACTACCTTTTCCCTGCCAAGGAAAGAATATTGCCAGCCTCTGCTTTTGTAGCTGATAGCAAAAGGGTTTCCACCAGCATACTGCTGCTGTTTCACTCGCCTGTGTGTGCATACGTACAAAATTGTCAGAGTCGCAGAATGGCTGAGGCTGGAGGGCACCTCTGGAGACTGCCCCGTCCAACCCCACTGCTCAAGCAAGGGCCAGCCAGAGCCGGGTGCCCCAGGCTGCCTCCAGTTGGGTTCGGAATATGCAAAAGACAGATGGACATTGCATAACTTGTCTGGGAAACCTGTTGCAAAGTGTGACCACATAAGAATACTCCATCAGGATGCTTTTCTGAGTCCTCAGTACCATTCCCATGTAGTCTGGAGTATGCTTAAGTTTGACGTCTTGCATTTTCCCATTTTCCTGGGAAAGCTAAGAGAGCACAGCTTCTAGAATTGAACATCACAACCTGGATTTCTTAACTTGCCCTGGCTCTGAAAGCTTTTAAGAAAGTCCTTGCTGCTTTATTGTTTACGGGAACAGTGATTTTGTAAGATATATCATTAGTATGTCTGTGGTGCTCTGCTGCTCCCTCTGTATTGATACCTCTCAAAATGCTTGAAACTGTGGAGTTCATGTTTGTTCATTATCCAGAGATCTTAGCAGCTTCTGGCTCTGTGGAAGCTAATGGGGTGGAGTGCTGAGATGCACTCGATACTCTGAGATAGGATAAGATTATCATCTTCACAAATGAGAGAAAATGAAAAAACCTCAATGGCTCCTAGAAGTAAGGATGCTAGGGTACAAAAATCAGTTCTTAGCGGTCGATCAATATTAGGCATCCCGAGTGCTTTAAAAAGGGAACAACATGCTGAGGTAAGGTCAATAAAAAATCCTTGAATAAACTGATTAGAAGACTGGCTTTTATTCTGAATTTAATGATAAACCTTAGTTTGTAAGTCAAATACCTGTTTGGTTATTTGTTTTTGTTCAAAGTGCACTAGTAGTGGTGAAATACTAGATTTGCGGACTTTGCTGAAAGTGTTGCTACTAGACATGGAAGAGGCCAGTAGTTGTCTGTCTCACAGAGAAAGTATCCTAATAGATGGAGAACTGGGGGAGAGCCACTTAGTCCCACTTTCCCAACCCACAGTAATTCATTTATTCTGTAGAACATATGGTTTACTGCCTTTTAGAGATCCAAGAATGCCTACAGTAACCATTATGATAAATAAATATTTTATATACTTCATATCAAACTTTGGATAAGGTGGAACTTTCTAAGTAGTTTAGTTTCAGTCAGTTTTGTTCTCAGTCATCTTCATGTGTTGCAAGTGTTTTTTAAACAGTTTATGATTTCTGTGTTACCTCTTTTTTTGTTGTCTCTGTCAAGTGTAGGTATGATCTAATGTGCTCTTTTCATTCATGTTGGTAGTAAGTACAAGTAGAGGCAGTGATAAATGATTCCTTTTTATGTTTTTCAATTTATTGGGCAGTAGGGGAGCCTGGCAGTCTAAGGAAACATTATGTTGCAAATAATCCTCTGAAAGGACTGAAAAATCGTATTTCATGCATTATAAAATATAGCAAGTAGTCAAATTAAACAAATATATCCACTCTAATGATACCTCAGAACTGTGTATCAAAGGAGCCTGCAATCTTAGGTAGAAAAATCTGCTTTAAATTTTGAATCTTGTGTATTGAGATGGTTATTAATTTTCTTGGGTTTTATTTTTCTTCTTTGCAATGAAAGGACAAGTTTCTCACCTTGTTCAAGTCAACGTGAGTTTTGTCTTTGCCTTAATTAGTGCCAGGATTTCATCCCTAGCCTGTGTTAGTTATGACTCTTCTGCATAGGTAAGATTTTACCTTTGCTATTAATTATGCCTTTGTCTCTATTAATCTGAGCAACTAAATCATGAGGAAGGTGACAGGTATATTGATTTTCCTTTCATTTTATGCCTTTGAGGGTGGGAGTCTTTTACAACACCCCTTGGTTGAGCTGACAGAAATGTTTTTGATGTACTAACTTACTGCTGGAAAATGCTGATTGAGCTGAATGAAAACACCCCGTGGGAATATGTCAGTGTGCTGACTTTCATGGGAAAGCAGGTAGATTTCCACCCTGGCCAGCCGGCTATTTGCTGGCCAGCTTTGCCTACAGACATTTCTGAAAAATTGTGTTCTACATGAAAATTCTTGTTTCTGAATTTTAGTTCCCATTCAGAAGAAGAAAAGAATGATTCAAAGCTGTGGAAGCTTTTGGGGATCTCGGTTGTCTTACCTGTGCAAACCCTTCCATGTAGTAACATTGCAGCTTTCTAATAGGTTACTGCTGTTAGTGTTGGAGTAGCAAAAGAGATTCCCAGGAAGTGAGATCACCTGATTTTCCCATTCTTAACCAAGAATTGGCATTGTCATGCCCCATTCATGCCTCGCAGTTGTGTTATTTTAGACATGAATCCTTTGTATGAATGATTTTCTGAGAAGCCTCTTAGACATATTAAAACTTGTTTATTTTTTTGCAGCCTCCGTAGCAGACATATAACTCTCTCTTAAACATTCTTTAGGCATAGGAATCAAAATTAATATTTTTACTCTGTTCTGCTCTCTGTTCTGGACACTCAGTGATAGTTTATGCTCTAATTCAATTCCTTCTGGTTGATCATGCCTCATGCATTCTTCAGTTGCGGTATCAAGTAGAGTGGTGATTGAGGGTCAGATCTGAAAATCCAAAATGGTAATTGATGGTAATTTGAATCTTCAATTAAGTGACTACTGAAAGGTCTCAGACAGAAAAAAGGGGAAGTGTATGTCTCAAATGTTTTTTTCTTGTGTTTTTTTCATCGGGTAGGAGAAACAAGTTATATTTTCAGAAGACTGTTGTGTAACCTGGTAGTCTTTTTTGGCCTTTTTTTTTCCTTCTGTGGTGGCACCTGCCCATCTTTTTTTCTGTCCTTGTGATCAGCAAAGTTCCCAATTGAGTATGTGAAGCAATCTCCTTGGCAGATGAGAATCTGGGCATGCGACTGGGTTTCCAGTCAACTAGCTTAGCATTCCGAATTAGCATTCTGCAGGTTCTGAAGAAGGCTAAACAGAAACAAAACCATGCAAGGGAAACTGCTGCATGCATGTGGCCAAGACCAAATGAGTTGGGACAGCAGAAATCCTATAGGTCTCTTGTATTTGATAGATCACCTTCCCTCTAAATAGCTGTTAGACACAACAGTCCGCTTTGTGCACTAAACAGAAGAGGTACATCATTTGCTATCTTTTGATCATATACAAGTATTTGTCTTCTGCCCTAGGGTAGGATTTTGGTTCCTGGTCATTTTAAAATGCAAGGCATTTTTTCTTAATGACTTTGGACTTTTCATGAGGAGCTTTCATCCTGACTTTGGAATCAAGATTTGACTTAAACCGACAGCACTGTTTGAACAAGCTAATATTTGGGCAAAGCAGGGAATGTATAAAAGATTTAATCTAAGCTATTTTCAAAATACTGTTGAGTAGCCTTTTAAGTCAGACAAGATGAACACCTTGTGCTTTGTTATTCTGGAAAAAAAAAAGGGGCTTGATATGTAGTTCAGCAGCAAGTGCAGTGCAATGCTTGAGGGAAAAGAGTAAGCCTGGGAATTTTTTGGAAACATATTAGGTAGAAAAGTGGTGAGGAAGTAACACTGCTCTCAAATATAATCTCTCTTCTCTCATTACGTTAGTGTGTTAGTTTTTTAAGTGAAAAGATGTTTATATGTAATTTCAGTTAATACACTGAAACACCTTTGTTTTACCTGCAGTGTTGGGACTAACCACGGTATTGTTGGTTTTGCTTCCTTTTACAGGTTGCCTTTTTGAAGATGTGAGGAATGCAGATATCTGTGTTGAAAGCTATTCTCAAATTCATTTTCAGCAGAAATATACGGATGACTTCCAATAGTATGACTTCTAGAAAGAAATCCACTGGCAATACAAAACAAAATGAGGGTGTGGTGTGTTATTCTTCATATCTGGATGTCTTTCAAAACCAAAGACAGAGTGAGTTAACTTCTGAGTCCAGTAAATTCTTAGATGTCATTTTAAGAGTGACTTACCTGTCACTGCTGTCACTCCAGCTGGGATGACTGTTGTGATCTCTTCATTGCCAAAAAGAAATTATCTATCTATCTTAGTACTAACTTTATCAGACGGTGTTTGATAATGACCTATATGTCCTTAGGAAAATTCAAAACTGGTAGCAAAAAGAGGTTTTAAAATATTTAACATCATGGGTAATGACATAAATTGTTTACTTTCTTTGTTCTGGTAAAGTTAGAGGTCCAACATTAAAATGTAAAATCTGGGTTTTGTCAAACTTGTATGTTTATCACGTATATTGTTTCCACATTAAGGCTTACCTTCCTTCTTGAGAGGGAAGGAAGACAGTTTCTGTATTCCTACACCTCATGTAGAATTTTTTTTAAACTGATAATGTTTTGGAGAATCATGGTTTTATGGTTACTTGGAATAGTTATTCCTTCAACTTCAAAAAAGAGCATGTATGTGAAGGCTGGCCTAGCAGAAACTGCTGGAGGTGAAAGATCCTTGTAGCAAGTCAATACAGCTACTCTAAATTGTCATTCTCTGCTGTGGCTGCTCAGCTGCCTTCCATGGGAGCCACAGCGCATTTCCGTGGAACGCAGAAGCTGTTACTTTTCTCAGTTTCGGAGTGGATTGCTCATGTAGCTGACAGCAATTTTTGCCTTCTCTTGTCCAGGGGAACAGAATGATGTAAGTGCATAGGCTGAGGAGCAGAAAAGATGCCTCCTGGCGCTTTTGCCTCAATTCCTGCTCATTGGGGCAGACTGCTCTTGAGCTAGAAGGAGATGATCCTTTAATATCAACCATCTCACTTGGACCCCTCTTCCCCCCAGGGTCTTCTCCCATATCTGCCTCGCTTATCTGCAGTTTTCCTTACACAGCTGCTCTTGGAAAATCAATCAGGTACTGGGATGGTTCATCTCACCTAGTGTGACAATTCTTGTGTTCTCAAAATGTATACAAAAAGGTATCCAAACAGGAAAAAAAAAACAAAAACAAAAACAACAAAAGAGAGACCCTGTTTATGTAGGCTAGCTTTTTCAAAGTCCATCTTTAAACTCTTAAAATAAAAAGATGCTACCTTTTTGGAAACCAGCTATATTTTGGGAGAATGGATTCTGGAGGGAATATCCTTGTTAGGGGAGTTCTTTGAAAATTCCTGAATTTCAAGGAAAGTTAACATGCCCTTTACTCATGAAATGATCATAGTGCAGGAAGTGACCCTGCAAAGTGTTGGACACCTTCTCTGGGTTTTACACACCCAAAGACAAGTAGCTGAGGCCTCCCAGCACCCAGTCTGGATATCATCTTATTTTTCTATTCTAATTTTAGTTTTCCATTTTGAATGAAGAACAAAAACATTATGAGTTTTGTATTTGGGGACTAAATTATCTAGCTCCAAGATATTTTGTCTATGAACCAATGTTTAGTCATTTTATGAATAAAATATATTTTCTAAATCAGTTTACTGTTCTGCTTAATTTCTGTGACGGTTTCAGCTTCCCAGAATATGACTGAGCAATCTTAAAATGGAAGACATTTGTATCAGACAGAAATACTCCAACTTTAAAATCTTTTCCAACTTATTTAAATGACCCCTGATGCAGTTTTGCATGCATGGAGCAATCTTAGGTCAGAGAATATTTACGCTTTTGAGGTTCAATCTCTGTCATGTCCTGCCTCATTTGGTATTGTGGCCATAGAGGGTTAATCTGCCTCTGGTAACATACATGGTTCCAGAATGATGAGTGCAGACCTTTTTTGGGGGGAAAAAAAAAACCTTCCAAAGATGAAGGACAAATCAACCCCATCCTGCCTGGTCTATCACTAACCTGTAGGAGCTAATGGCTCCAGTGATGCTACAACAAAGTCAGTGCTGCAGCTGGCTCGGGAACCAAATCCTGAGAGAGTGCTAAGCCCAGTGTGTATGCTTAAAACATTAAAGTTTTTAGGAGCTTTCCCTCTGCCTACGGGTGCTTAAAGCTTTTCCTTGTTCTTTTTTATCCTATACATTGGTGAACTGGGTCTCGCTGGGGTGGAGTTAACATTCTTCATAGCAGCCCCTATGGTGCTGTGGTTTGGATTTGTGGCTCTAACAGTGCTGGTAGCACACCAATATTTTGACTATAGCTGAACCTTCTCTTTTATTTCCCACTCTGCCCCCACACCCCCACGTGAATAGGCTGAGGGTGGGCAAGAAGTGAGGAGCGGGGGACACTGTCTCCCACAGCATTCTCCTAGAGAAGCTGGTGGCTTATGGTATGTAGACACAGGTGTACTCTTTGCTGTGTAAAAAATTGTCTAAGAGAGTTGTGGTGAACAGAGTTAAATCCAATTGGTGGCTGGTCACAAGTGGTGTTCCCCAGGGCTCAGTTCTGGGGCCAGTCTTGTTTAGCATCTTTATCAGTGATCTGGATGAGGGGATCAAATGCACCCTCAGTAAGTTTGCAGATGACACCAAGTTGGGCAGGAATGGGGTCAAGGGTAGGGAAGCTCTGCAGAGGGACCTGGACAGTCTGGATCAATGGTCAAGGTCAATTGTATGAGGTTCAGCAAGGCCAAGTGCCTGGTCCTGCACTTGGGTCACAACAACCCCATGCAATGCTACAGGCTTGGGGAAGAGTGGCTGGAAAGCTGCCCAGCAGGAAAGGACCTGGGGGTGCTGGTAGGCAGCCAGCTGAATATGAGCCAGCAATGTGCCCAGGTGGCCAAGAAGGCCAATGGCATCCTGGCTTGTATCAGGAATAGTGTGGCCAGCAGGAGCAGGGAAGTGATCGTGCCCCTGTACTTGGGCACTGGTGAGGCTGCACCTCGAATACTCTGTTTGTTTGTGGGAACCCTCAGTTCAAGAAGGACATTGAGGCACTGGAGTGTGTCCAGAGAAGGGCAACGATGCTGGTGAGGGGTCTGGAGCACAAGTCTTATGAGGAGCAGCTGAGGGAACTGGGGCTGTTTAGCCTGGAGAAAAGGAGGCTGAGGGGAGACCTTATCGCCCTCTACAACTGCCTGAAAGGAGGCTGTAGTGAGGTGGGCATTGGACTCTTCTCCCAGGTAACAAGCGATAGGATGAGAAGAAATGGCCTCAGGTTGCACCAGGGGAGGTTTGGATTAGGTATTAGGCAAAATTTCTTTATTGAAAGAGTGGTCAAACATTGGAACAGGCTGCTCAGAGAGGTGGTGGAGTCACCATCCCTGGAGGTGTTCAAAAAACGTGTAGACATGGCACTGTGGGACATGGTTTAGTAGGCATGGTGGCGTTCGGTTGATGGTTGGACTTGATGATATTGGAGGTCTTTTCCAACCTTAATGATTCTGATTCTATGACACAGTGAGGACAGCTGACCTGAATTGGCCAAAGGGATATTCTGTACCAGAAAGCATCGTGCACAGCAGTAAAAACTGGGAGTAGAGGAAGAAAGGGGGAGAGGGGTGTCTTCCAAGGTGATGGTTGCTCAGAGACTAGCTGGGCATCAGTCTGCTTGTGGGATGAGATGAGTTACTGCCTTTGCATCACTTGGTTTTGTTTTTTTTTTTTTCTCTTTCCTTCACTTATTAAACTTTCTCTCAAGCCACAAGTTTTCTTGCTTTTGCTCTTCCTGTTCTCTGCCCCAGCATGCCGGTGGAGGAATGGGGGTAAGTGAGCAGCTGAGTGGGTGCTTGGCTGCTGGCCAGGGTCGACCCACCACAATTGGAAGCAGAAGTTGTGAAGTCCCCAAAAGAAAAAGAATAAATCTTTCTGTTGCAGCTGCCCTCCCATTTTGGGGACATTTCCCTTCCCCAGGTTCCCAATGGCCACAATTGCCACTCTGTGTCTATATGAGGGGCAGGACAATTTGACATGCTTAGTGCCATGTTTCCCTTTCCTTGGTTCTAGCTCTGAGACCTCCATTAACATTTAACCGTTGACATTATCTGGAAAACATCAGACCACGTATGATAATATACAAATGCCTCGGATGGGTTTCCATTTGAAAATATATTTCTTTGTTCATGTTCAGAAAAAAAATGGTTTTGATATTCTCCCAGGTACCAGGCAATACATTATTCAGAACTCCTGTTTCTGAAGACAACTTTCTTGGCTTTTTTTTCCCCCCTCCTATTTCTTATGTGATCTTTCCTTCTGAGCCAGTAGTGGATTTGAGGTGTGATAGCTTCATTTGACACTTTCTTGCATTCCAGCTGCTTTATAAAAGTGAAACTTGGCCATTTTTTTTCACGATTATCTTAGCAGTGAACCATGGGCTCTCATAAACCATGCACTTGGGTTCAGAAAACCTGCTGAGTTCCCCTCAAGGCTCCTTCCTTGACCTTTGCCTATCACTGCTCTTGCCTCCATTTGTCTGTTGAATAGCATGATGCCATTTGCTTGTTGACATCAGCATTTTGAAAAGTTGGGAATGTAGAAAGCACAATTAGTTACAGTTCCTAGCATCCAGAGCGAGTGGCACATTTTATTCTAGTCTAAATACCATGTCTGGATACATCCATAACAGAAAGCTTGTTTAGTTCTGAAGTGTGCAGACAGTATCTGTACGCAGATGGAAAAGCGTGCACCAAGATAGGAGTTGGCCTAGAAGCTGTGTTCTTCAAAAATGTTTGGTCCTTCTTATTGCTTGCCCTCTCTCCTCAGCATTTTTGTCTCTTATGGTCTGCATTTTTCATTGCAGAAAATGTCTTAATTTTTGCTTTCTGTAGTGCCGAGCACAGTGTTAGTCTTAAAGTAATAATAATAAATCAGCAATGACGTTAAGAAGTCCCCAACTCACATTAACTGAGATAGATGTGCATCCTTTCCTAATGTGCAGTTTCCAAATAGTGTATGGCAGCAAGAAGATATTAAAAATGTCAGCTTTAATTCTAATATGCTATCGGGTTATAAAGATGGCTATTGGTGGTGCAGAAAACCTGCCTATCTGTCAGACCAGTACTGTTCTCTCCATTAGCAACAACAGACAACAATATTGTTTCTGTCAACGGGTCACAGGGCGATTATATTAGTGTAGGGCTTGTTACTTCTTTTACACACGTTTGACCATTTAACTGGGATAGTTAAACTGGCATACCAAATTGAGTCCCACTGGGTTTATTTTAATTCCAAAATTAGGGTGGCTTTCTAACTTCGTTTAAATCCCTGCTGGAGTAGGTTAGGATAGACTGAATAATAATAATAATAATAACAAATGGATTGATCAGGGAGCTATACTGGTATTACCCTGTGAGCTGAAGGGCAAGTTCTAGCTTATCTCCAGTTTACTTCTCTGTGTAGAGGAACTTTTATGTTTAAGGAGCAACTTTAAAATTTACCATAGATGTTTCTGCACTCAGGCATTCTGGCTTTAAATGCAAATGCATTTGAGTAATTTTCTTTCTGTTTTGCTGCCTTCATTTTTGTTCCCCCAGAACATCACTTTGTGGTTTCAATGTTAGACTTTGCATCCTTTAATTTCTCTTGTAGCCAACTGTCCTCCATTATAAATGACGGGTAACTTGTTCGAGGTACTGCATTAGCTCATCAGCCTCATTCCTTTTGGTTTTCCTCTGCAGGTTTTCTTGCTACTGTTGAGTCACTGTTGTAGAAGCACTGCAAAATCTGCAGATGGACAAATTATAGAAACATTGAGCAACTCTCTTTTTACTAGACTTCTTTGGTGTGTTCTTTCGGAGCAGGCTGATAGCAGATGCCGTGGAGGATTAGGTAATGTTCACAGAATATAGAATAATAGAATTGCTTTGGTTGGAAAGGACCCTTAAGATCATTGAGTCTAACCTTTAACTTAACCCTGCCATCCCACCACTAAACCATGTCCCTAAGCACCTCATCTATCCTTCTTTTAAATACCTCCAGGGATGGGGACTTGACCACCTCCCTGGGCAGCCCGTTCCAGAGTCTGACAACCCTTTCCGTGAAGAAGTTTTTCCTAATGTC